CATAATTAGTATTTCAATAAAGATGGGACATTGGGATGGGGATGGGACTAACTCCCTGTTCAGTGTCAGACACATTTTACAAAGCAGCCAAAGATCCATCAGGTCCTGTCTTATCCTACATTAGAAGCTTGCATCTGTTGTTGCACCTGGTGTCATTTTTAAATGAAATGTCATCCAAGAATATGCCTGTGTTTAGGACCCCTACCACTACCCTGTCATTAACCTCCACTGACACACCTAGACAGATGTGGAAGGACAAAAGGAAGTAATGAGGGTTCAGTGTGTGTGCCCTTCCCTCTTTGTGTGCAAAACAAGACTGAACTCTTTCATGTCAGAGGAAAATGATGAATATCTACCACCTGACAAAATTAACATTTATATAGCACAGTTTCATATACTTTGAATGTCCAAGTGAATTTTACAACATTTTGGTAAGAAACTTTTATTTGGAATTTATTTCATTACATTTGTATTACTATGTATTATAAAAGCACCTTTTGCATTTTTTTTCAGATGTTTGAACAGGTAATATTGTATGTGTGATATAAAGGAAGTTGTGTAGGAGTTAAAGGATACATTTAAAAAATCTTGTTTTTATCATCCTCTCTTACTTCTCATCAAATTTTTAAAATATATTGTCTGAAATGCAGGGAGAGTGATATTTATACTGCATTGCCTACTCGGGGCCTGACTGTATTTAAATTCTCCATGCTCTGCAGTGGTGCTCTTGTGGAATGTATGGCTTTAGAGCAGCCTTTCTCAACCAGGGTTCTGTGGAACTTTAGGGTTCCTTCAGAGGTTAAAAGCACAAAACTAACATTTAGCTGCTGTTCTTAATGGAATGGCAGCTACCTGTTAGTTTTGTGTTTTTTTTTTTTCTCTGTGCGTGGTATAGGGGTCCATAGAGCAGTCCTACATATTATATTCCTGCAGAGGTTTCTAGGGGTTCTTTGAGTAAGGAGTAATTTTCACCTCTCAGATAAGTAACCACTGATGTAAATTATCACTTTAGCTATCTCTAAGGCCTGGTTGACACTAATGCGATTTCAGATGCAACTTGAGTCGCACAGAGAACAAGTCACACACGACAATGGAAATCACATTGTTGGTGGCCAACCACATCACTGCAGCATAGCACAGTGCATTTTTGGAAAAGGCTCCTGTGCTACTTTTCGTGCGATTGTATCACGGTTTTGTAGTCAATGGAAACTCACCAAAAATGTATATACATGTATTTTTTATGCAATTTTGACACCTTTTTGCAGGTTGTTAGGGATCCTTACCAACCAGTATCTAGTCTCCTTACCCTGTCAAACAACACAGTGGTACCAAAAACACATCAAAACCGCAAGCAAGTGGTGCTACATAATTGCACAAGTCGGATCAAATCACAGCTGCACTTGTGTAAATCTAGCCTATGAGACCAGTTCACACCATGAATCACACAAGAACGCGCTGTGCATTCCTGTACAATTCACATGTGATCTGGTTGCAGTGCAATTTCAGCCCATTCATTTGAATGGGCTTAAATTGCGCCGGACTGCAGCAAAAGTAGTGTATACACTACTTTAAAAATGTAGAAGAGCAACCGGATTGGATGGTACTACTGTACTCTATTCTTCTGAGCAGGGCCCTCTTAATCCTCTTGTGTTTTATTTTATTGTAATTGTATTGTCTCCCTTTAAATTGTAAAGCGATGCGCAAACTGTTAGAGCTATATAAATACTGAATAATAATAATACAGTTGGCCAGAAAATGTTAACATTGCTTTCTTAACATCAGAGGACTGCACCTGTCTTTCATGTAATGACTGGGGGAATTTGCATCTGAATGTACACTTAGGTGGGAACCTAGGTTTTTATAAGACTTACATAGACTGAAAGGCTAAGCAGTTTCTGTGTTGAATGGCTTCTGGAGGAGAAAAAATACACAATTACATAGTTCTTAGGCTAGCCACACACTAGTAGATTTTCAAACGAATAGCCCTACAAAAATTCTCAGTATGTTCAATGACTTGACTAATGTTTTTTCAAAGTACTAAAACATTTGTTGGCTTTTAAAGTGTTACTAAACCCAGGACCCTACATTCACACTATCTGGTCTCCCACAGTACACAGAACATGGAAATGCAATTATTTTAGTAAATAGAAACTGCTAAATACCTTTTCTCAGCAGCAATTAGAAGTCACAAGACTGCTCTATCAGTGTCAAGCAGAGCACATGCCAATGCTTGTAGGAGGAGTTTTCTGGACCCCTGACCTCTGTCTGGACAGTGCTAATTGGCCCTGTGCTGATTACATGCACTCTCCCAAGAAAAAAAAAAAAACCCTCTCTAGCAATACACACCAAACTGAGCATGTACAGAGTGATTCCACACAATATGTCTTATCAGGAGATAAGAGGGGGGCACTGGAGGAAGGGGAGGATCAGAGAAGACAGGATCGAACAGCATTTTTACACAGTGCAGAGGATTAACCCCTTAGGTTCCAGAGTAAGTATAATAAGCATGCTTTACTGCATATACAGACTGATGTTATGGTTGTGGGTTTAGTAATACTTTAACATTCAGTTTTGGGAAAAGGTAATTTCCTGAACAAAAACCACATTCACTGTTATAAACTTGTTTGTTCAAGAAAAAAAAAATGACCTGCTTCCAAAATTCTCTCATCATTAAGATTAAAAATGATTGCCAATTTGACTGCACTAACAATTAAAAAAATCAATCAAACATTCTTAAAAGAAAAAAAAATTCTAATGAAAGTTCTACTAGTCTAAGGCCAGACTTGCTGCTTTTGTAGGGCAAGTTGTTAGCTAAGCTATGAATATAAAACATGCTTGCTTTCTAGCTTGCATAACTTCTGTAAATGTCTAATGTTGGATTACGGAAAGTGTCACCTGATTAAAAAAAAATGTCACCCCTCTGCATATGGAAGTAATGGGAACAATGGTGAAATGGTATAGAAAATAGCATGTTGCAGCGTTTGGCAAGTCAGATCTTTAAGATGAGCCCTGGCCTCTGCAACTATCCTTCTCCAAACAGCTACAAGCCATTTTCTTAGTTACATACACTTCATTAAACATTTATGAACTTAGTAGGCTATGAAGTCATAGATTTCCTGCTGTAGACAACAATTGGTCTGTTTGTGTTTGCTATTTGCTTAGGGTGGAATGACTGTTTGTCCTATTCATAGATCATTTGAATATTTTTATCCTAATACATAGGTTTACATTAGACATTTGTTTTTCCTGCACCTTTTCTTTCTATTGGTTTAACAGAATAACAACACTCTGGTCACTCTGTATTGCCTATAACAAGCACATGCTCATTTTTACATTTCAAGCACAAGGTACTTCTAGGCCACTGGAAGAAAGAGAGGAAGGTCATGCCTGAAGGCGTCTCAAAGAAATGTCAAGACAATCTGGAGAAATATAGTGAACAAGTAAGCCTGCAATCATTACAGAAAAAGGCAATGCAGTGTATAGTTTGAATTGGGAAAACTTCCCCAATATATTCATTTACTATACTGTACTGGGAATCAGCTGCTCACCCCCATGTTACCATTGCTCTACCACCGATATATATAGCACGTCTTCTGGTCTTGTACTCAAATATCACCTTGCTGGCAATAAAATACACCAGCTATTGACAAAGACTCTGAGCTTTGATCCACCTCACCTCACGGAAATATTTATCTTCACTATATTAAAGTGTTACTAAACCCACAACAGTAAAATCAGTCTGTATATGCAGTAACACATGCTTGTTATACTCACTGTGGAACTTAAGGGGTGAATCCTCTTCATTGTGTAAAAAGGCATTTTGATTATTTCTTCTCTGTTCCTCCCCTTTTTCAAGAAAACACCTCTTATCTCCTGATAAGACTGACTGAACCATAGGCATTTTGCACATGCTCAGTTTGGTGTGTATTGCGAGAGAGGGTTTTTTTTTTTCTCTCCTTGGGAGAGTGCATGTGATAAGCACAGGGCCAATCGGCACTATCCAGACAGAGATCAAGGGTTTTGCATCCTCCTACAGCAGAAAGAAAACTCCTACAAGCTTTAGCTAGTGCTGGGCTGGAAACTGATAGAAGTCACAAGACTGCTCTAACTTCTGATCAGAAAAAGTATTTAGCAGTTTATATTTACTAAAATAATTGCACTTCCATGTTCTGTGTACTGTTGGAGACCAGATATAGTGAATGCAGGGTCCTGGGTTTAGTAACACTTTAAAGCGGAGCTCCACCCAAAAGGGGACATTCTGCTTTAAGCCTTTGTCCCCCGCTCCCCGCCAAGGATTGATACCTTTGGGGAGCGGGTACCCGAATTTGACAGGTACCTGCTCCCACTCCCACTGTGATTGCCTAAGGCGATCGGAAGCAGAAGTTGTCCTCCCGTAGTCTTCTGGGACATGTGACAGGTCCCAGAAGACTACGGAGCCATTCACAAAGTGCAGCACTTCTCGCGCATGCACAGTGGGCACCCGGCTGTGAAGCCACAAGCTGTCACAGCCGGGTGCCCACACTGAAGAAGCCGGCGCTGGGGAGAAAAGATGGATGGTGAAACCAGCGATGGTGAGGATACCGCTGGATCAAGGGACAGGTAAGTTTTTGTAGCTGCTGACTTTTATTTTTTTTTCAGCTGGAACTAGTTAACTAGTCATATAATCAGAGTGGGTACAAGGGGGGGCAGGAGCACGTGCCCCGGGTGCAGCGTTTCTATGTAGAGGCATAGGTAGCAACCACACAAAGGCATGGAAGTAAAGAGCAGATCTCACATATTAACAGCACTTTCAGTGCTCACTTAACCACTCTACTGGGCACTTTTACTCCCTTCCTGCCCAGGCCAATTTTCAGCTTTCAGTGCTGTTGCACTGTGAATGACAATTGCGAGGTCATGCAACATTGTACCCATATGAAATGTTTATCATTTTTTTTCACACAAATAGAGCTTTCTTTTGGTGGTATTTAATCACCACTGGGGTTTTTATTTTTTGCACTGTAAATGAAGAAAATAGCAAAAAAAGTTTTCTTTGTTTCTATTTTAAAATTTACCAAACAGGTGATTTTTCTCCTTCACTGATATGCATTGATGAGGTTGCACTGATAGGCAGCACTGATGGGCATTGATGAGGCGGCACTGATAGGTAGCACTGATGGGCATTGATGAGGCGGCACTGATAGGTAGCACTAATGAGGAGGCACTGGTGGGCATTGATGAGAAGGTACTGATGATGTACTGATATGCAGCAATGATGGGCACTGATAGGCGGCACTGACTGGCGGCACTGACTTGATAGCACCAACTGGAGGCACTGACAGGTGGCACTGCTGGGCAGCAATGATGGGCGACACTGCTGGGTACTGATGGGTGACACTGATGGGCGGCATTGCTGGGCACTGCTGGGTGGCACTGATAATCAGGGCACTGATAATCAGTGCCCTGATTATTAGTGCAGATCTCCCCTGTCACATATGCCAGTTATCGGCACTACTTTCTTTACACTGTGACAGCATGAGGAAAGTGAAGTCGAAACCGGCAATTGTATTTACATTGTGATCTGCTGTGTCATTGGAATTACATTGTTATCTACTGTGTCCTACATCAAAGACTGGATAAGTAACTGGGTGTGGTGTGGATGGAAGAGTCCTGTGCTGGGATGGGGGAGAGCTTTGTTATCGGGGGAAGGGGGAGGAGATCTCTGTACTGGTGGGGAGAAGAAAAGAGCTGGTCTTTCTTCTACCACCAAATCAGGGAGATCTTTTACCTCCTAATGACACCACTGATGCAGGGACATTTTATCTTTTACTGACACTATTGATTCAAGGACATTTTTTCTCCCAGTGACACCAGCAACTCAGAGACTTTTTTTACCTCCCAGTGACACCACTGACGCAGGTGTCACTATAAGCCTGGGTTCACACTGAATACGACTTCATGCACAGATATCTATGGAAGCAGCACCCTAAATCACCAAAAGTGGCACAGGAACTACCTTTTTAAATCAGTGCGACTCTGACAAAGTCATTAGGTGTGACTTGACAGTTCAAATCACATGACATGTCCCATCTGTGTGAATGGGGGCTAAGTGTTCATTTGGGGGGAAGCAGGCAGAGATCAGTGTGTGAATGTGAAAGTGCATAAAAAAAAAGCCCACACAGAAACATATTTCTTCAATAACCAACTTTAGCCCTGGTTCACACTGAATGCAACTTTGAAATCGCACTAGTTCAATTGCTACTTAAATTCATGTAGCGTAATTTCAAAGCCGCAGATCAGTGCAATTTGCACCTCTAATTCCACTGTGGCTTGCAATTTTATTTAACGGAAGTCAATGCAAGTTACATTGAAATCGGGGAAAAGTAGTTCAGGAACTATTTTTGAAATGACGCCACTTCAAATGGCACTCATTAAGACAGTGCCATAGAAATACATTAGATATGACTTCAGGTGCAATTTGTAAATTGCATGTCGCACCTGAAGTTGCATCGGTGTGAACCAGGACTTATTGGTGACTTGATTTGTTTTGTATTAAGAATATTCATAAACAAAACATTAAATATATTTTTAGAAGACTGTAAATTCTGTGATGGGGTAATGTACCAGCCACAAGAACGCCAGATTATTTCATTTCCATTGCTAAGAATTGTTCCTGCAGCTAGCTTATGCCATCTGCTGGCAGTAATAAGAAGTTGTCATTACTCCACACACTTATGAAGTCATCTTCTGCTGGATTTGAATCTGTCTCAGTGGTCCTAAAGACCTCATACACACTGGGCATTTAGCCCCAGTCGGGCCGGATAAGGCCTCATGTGCACTGCTGCTCCTAAATATGAGTTTAGGAGCTTTTGACGTTTTTTTGCCAAAGCCATTGAACTCAATAAAACCTTTTCTGTCCATGTACACATAACCTTTTACCAGAAGTGGCAGAGGTTAGGGGCAGTTAAACATTGCATTCTGAACACAGAATAATCGCAATCAGGAGATTAATGTTTTGACCAGAAAATGAAAAAGCTGGAAAAAAAAGTGACTAAATGCGTCTAAACGGTAGTCTCATTTAGCACTTGGGTGTTTATCCATGTCAATAGCAAATACTTTTGGCCAATCAAATGAATAAACATCCAAGTGCTAAATGTAGGTAAATGCGGCTAAACGCGGTAACGCATTTACACGCGTTTTTGCCGCGTTTAAGGTTTTTCTACTGCCAGGAAAGTTTAACGACCATGTAAGTTAATGTGTACATGAGGCCTTAGGAGCATCATTGGTCTGGTGCTGGCAGAAGTGGAACAGATGGCTTCATGTACACGGGCAGCTGCTAAACTCAAGTTTAGGAGCTTTTGGCATTTTTTTTGCCAAAGCTCCTAAACTCAGTTCTATAAAAGCCTATGTGTCCATGTACACATAAGCTTTTAGCAGAGTTTAAGAGTTGCTGCATTTAGGTGAGGTTAATCCTCCCTCTCCTGAACATAAAAGAATCGCGTTTAGGATAGGAACGTTTTAACCGCCGACCGCAGAAAAACACAGTAAAAATGTGGCAACAACAGCACTACATTTTTTCTGCGATTTGCGTTTCCCAATAGCCGGAGGTCAGAGAAGGCTTGTGTACATGAAGCCTTAGGAGTGGCAGGGATATGATGATATGATGCAAGTAACCTCATATCCCAGCTCTCCTCTTACTGGCCGTCCTCCTGCATTTCCAGGGGCCTGTACCCAAATTTAAAAGGGCGCTGATGCACAGGAGTAATGCTACAGAAGCCTGGCATGTGATTTGCCAGGCTTCTGTAAGAGGCATGCTCCCTGAAGTGAAAGGGTGCAGCCACCCAGGTCTAACATTATGAAAACTCCAGGCTTCCATAAGAGCCTTGCATTGATGTGTGCTGTTCATCCTGAGGTGAGGTGGAAGAGCGCAGCCTAAGGTTGCCACCTTTTCTTCAAGCCAAACCCAAACACTTTAGCGGCGCATGGCAATTTTTATTGTAGTATACACCATAGGATTATAAAAGACCTGGAACACCTTGGGGTGTCAGTAGGGCAGTGGAAGGTGTGAGTAGGGCACTGGAAGGTCTCAGTAAAGCAAGTGTACAGTGTCAGTAGGGCAGAGAACATTGTCAATAGAACAGAGGATGGTGTCAGTGGAGCAGTGGACAGCGTCAGTACAGCAGAGGACAGTGCCAGTTGGGCAGTGGCCCTCAGACAATGCATAGAAGAGCAGTACAGTGCTGGCCCCCAGGGGCCACAATACATGAGGTCCTGGTGTTTTGGTACAGGAGAAAGGCACAGGTGCACCATCCAGCCCTACTTCCAGAAGCCTGTAGAACTCTATTTAGGACAGTTTGCACCAAAGGATGAACACACACTGCAAACACCTGAAAGCCCTTATAAAGCTTCCCCCTCCATGCTGCCAGAAAGTGCAGAAGGGATAGTTCAGGCGTGTGTCATGTGTCTTGTGTTTCCTCATACATGTGATACTCAAATATCTTGTAGATTTTCCACAGCTGATACACTGCAGGCAGATACAATCTGAAGAACTCAGTGGACCATCACTGGAAGTAGCAGAGGCCTTTGATCCTCAAATATGTAGGATTCAATGTGAACTCAAACCAGATCCCTGATAAAGAGTAACATTTTAATTAAGGTATTTGCATGCAAAAGGAAATGTTTTTAATTTTAGAGCAGGATTTCTCAACACGGTTCCATGGAACTCCAAGGTTCCTCCAGAGGTTGCTAGAGGTTCCTTAAGCAACGAGAAATTTCTTCCTCTCAGATAAGTTCCCACGGACACCATTGATCTTTTTAGCTATCTGTAAGGGGGTAATTCCTCCCAATGACCACAAGTGTAAGCAGGGCTGCTGATTAGGGCGTACCCCTGGCCCTCCTGCAAGGGTCCCAGCCCCATCAGCTGCAGAGGGGGGCCCGGGCAGCTGATAAGTCCATCTGCAGCTGCTAAATTCCATTGTTAGCCTCCTGTCATTCTATCACACAGCAGCTCATTGTTGTGAATGTTAGCTGCGCTCCTGCTCTGCTTCACATGTCTGACACTTTCAAGTTTCCTTCTGTTTACATTTGATTGCAACTTTGTTTCTCTCCCCCAGACTGCTGATCCCTTTCTGTTCACTGCTAAAAACCTCTCTTTCCTTATACAAATTGACCCCCCCCCCCCCCCCCCCTACTGTCATCACTTGTTCCTTCTGCAAACCTATATATCCCTGCTCAACTCTTTTTATTTAACTATTTATTTACTGATGTAGTTAATGCGTCTCATTTCCTATCACCTACAGCTCAGATCTCGCATTATTATATGATTCCTGATTGTATCTCACTAGTCTGATTGAATTCACAATTCCTGGTCAGTCCCGTTCTCTTACCTATAATAACCTTTAGAGCAAGGTGACGCTACGTGCATTTCATTTGCTTTTTTTCTGCATCCAAAATGCATAGAAAGTAGGTTATATGGTTGTCAATGTCACAGTTCACATCAGTGCTTGCAGTTCTGGTTACAGAAAAAAAAGTAGAACATGCTGCATTTTTTTCTGCACAGAACTCTACTGGAACATGGTAAAACACATCAAAAACACACTGGAACACACCAAAAACACACTGGAAACGCACATGCCCCTAATTAAATTTAAGAAAAAAAGAGGGGAAAAAATGAACTGGAATGCATCAAAAACGCACTGGAAAGCATCAAAAACTCATAAAAAATGCACCGGAACATGCTAAAAAAAGTGTTCCTGTAATCTTTTTGAGCAGTGTGTGTGTGTATATATATATATATATATATATATATATATACAGTTGTGTTCAAAATAATAGCAGTCAGACATCACTAACCTGATCAATCACTGTTTTTGGTAGAAATGATATTTCTACAGTTGTGTCCAAAATTATTCAACCCCCAATGCTGTAAAGGGGTTTAGGGACTATAGTGTACATTTGGAATTGTATTCAGAATCAAATCCTACAAGGACGTTGTAACTACCCAAATGCAACTAAAATGACATCAATTGTTTATGTAATACAGTAGTAAATGGTTCTTATGTGGTTTCTTCATTGCCACAATTATTCAACCCCTTAAAGACTACCACTCTGAAGAACAGAGGTTCATACAGGTGCTTTCCATCAGGTATTGAAAACACCTGTGGATGTCACCGAGCAGCAATCAAGCATAATAAGCACCAATTAGGCAGCTTTAAAATGACTGTGATACTCAGCTCCTTCTAGACATTTACTGGTGTGGTTACAAACATGGTGAAGGCAAGAGAATGGTCCAGGAAGACAAGAGAAGAGGTGATTTCTCTTCACAGGAAGGGCAATGGCTATAAGAAGATTGCAAAGATGTT